TGTATTCAATAGCTGGTATATAATAACCTTTTAAGTGAAAATACTCAAACAAGTCTGACAGTCTTAAGTATTCCCTACCCATGCCCAAAATAAACATATCTCAGCTTTCAGTTGGATGATATTTGCAGGAATTGACTTAACTGAAAAATAACTAAAGTAGAAAGCCATGGACCAAACAAAAAAACCTCATTTTTATCCAGGTTAATAAAATGCTGCTGCAGTGGTGGGTGTGACTTTCCTAAAACTGATGTCACAAGATTTCTCTTTCAGAGAGACAGTTAAATTAGTTACCCTCCCCTAACCTCTGGGAGGGCATATAGAAGAGTATGCAGAAATTACAATTCAAGCCCCTCAGAGGGTGTTTTGACCTCTTGTCTTGCCCTGACCTGCTTCAATGTGAGTTTTGCAATATCTTCTGCAAAGTGTAAGATAAGAGGCCAAAGGATAAGAGTTACTGAATTTCTTCCCATGTTCCCAAAGCGACCTAGGACATCTTTTGGATCTTCACTGGCTTGACTGGGTACAGAGGTTGCCTTATCGAACGTGCAGGCAGTCAGCACCTTAAAGGGATTCCCGGGTGCTTGGACACTTCACAGCAGAACTTAGTATTTTAGGGGGGGAATAAAAGCACCAAAAATTTGAAAATGTTTATGATGCTAATAAAGGGAGGGAGGGAAAAAAAAGATACATTTATACTATACATTAAATCATGTCACTAGTAGAGCTTTGGAGATTTCAAAATCCTTTCCCAACTCACTGCTCTGAGCCTCAGTCTGTCCTCTCTCAAAGGCAAAAAAAGAACAATCTGCTAAAGATACTTATGGGTTCATTTTGCCTAGAAAGCAATTAGTTTTCAGCCGACTTAAGTATAAAAACTTCTTTGCATCTCCACGTTCCTGTAGGGAAAAAAAAAAAAAAATACTGGGCTATTCTACAAAAACATGCCACTTTTATGTCCAAAAAAGATCACACAGATGTCTAAGTTTGTAGAAAAGTTTATTTTATTCTGTCACTATAAAAAACAGCAAGAACTTTATATATATACAATGCAACTCAAAGATATTGAGAGCCTTTAGAGGGATAAGGATGTTGACAGATTGTGACATGACACAACCCAATTATTTCATTTTTCCAGGATATGGTGGTATGTTTGCTATGACTGCTATAAATGTCAGCTGTGGACTGAAACTCATTTTGTCTCATGATCCCCAATCTCTCAAAGAAATAAGATGCTTACTTTGGGATTAGCCTGTAACAGCCAAATCATGAGCCAATGCAGTTACCTTTATCCAGTACATCCCAGTGCAGCCTCTGTTCAGAGCACTGGAACAAGTATGACGGGAGCTGCCCCGTCAGACTGAACTCCCTGCAGCATTCCTGAAGAAAAAATTGTGTCACAGTCGTGAATGTATTTTTAATCCGCTACTCTCACATCATCACCATCAAGTATCCCACTTCTTTTCCCCTTTTCACATCAAACATTGGCTACCAGCTTTTTCACAGGAGTATCTCTACCATTCATCCAGCCCACAGCAGGCTTTTTTTTCCTGTCTCCATCTCTTCTCCACCCTTCCCTGTCCTACCAGTGACGCTAGCCACTACTGGCCAGTAATTTTAATATACAGGCAAGTTCACGCTTTCATTTCTCTTATATAATACAACCTCACCAATACAACCAAAGAGACAGAAGCCCATTAAGTAATTTAGTATAAAGCTATGCAGGTAAGAGAATGCATCACCCTCACTAGTAAATGACAACAGTCTTGTAATGATGTGCTCTATGAACCATTTCCACTGCTTGAGAGGCAGTTCTCTATTTTCACTATGATCAAGCATCATTATTTTAATATCCTGATTCTCCCAAAAGTATTCTATTCTAAGTACGGACGATGTATTCATTACAAAGCTAAATTTTAAAAAGTAACTTAAAGTGTTTTCATTAAAAGTAAGCTCCCTCTTAGAAAAGTTGAGATTCAATGACTTTACCCTGAACTTCAACAAGGAATCTTTACATGACAGTCACAAGAAATCCTGGAGTTGTAAACATACAGCTTTTATAGAGAAGGGTTCTTCACTTTAACACAATGGACAGGGAAACAAAGTTTTTAAATTCTTACACACAAAACTGAAATGCAGAGCCATACCTTTTCAGCACTGGCACCCTGACCGTGATTGTTTATGTTGGAGCTTAGAGCCAAGGAGTGAATTTTACTGTTTTAGTTACCCAGACACACAATTAGTAGTTCAGCAGCCTTTGCTTTCTAATTGATCTGTTCACATGACAAATGATGAACATCTCACTTGTCAGTGTCGTAAGCAGTAGTTTCAAGATCTGAAGTGTTTGACAGAGCTGCTGGAACATTTGAAATTTTACTACCTCACTTTCCTAATTAACACATGAGATCCAGACAGCCAAGCTGACATTTTACAGTTAGGCAAAAGAAGTAACTACTGTTCTATTAAACACTAAGTTTGAATATCTAATGTCTTTTCTTAAAAGCCACTTGGAAATTAAATTGATGCTTTCACAACAGGACCAGGAACTACAGCTCACTGCACTCTCACCCGAGATAGTTAAAAAAAAACAACAACAACTCATCAAAACAATTAAGACACAGCAGCACACACTTTCTTCATTCTGAAAGAAGACAAACCTTTAACACCACAAGCGTAACACAAAGAGTTTCTCATCTGCCATTTCTTGCAAGATGCAGGTTAACACCTTACGTAATGATCCTGGTTTACGATGAAGGTAATATTGTGGTTGCAAGGACAGAGACCTTTTACCTCAAAAATGTCGGAAGAGGAAGAAAAAGCCTCAATAGTTAGTTTGAGAGAGTAAAAGTTAACATGCCACATGCCCAAATCAGAGAGGAAATACTGTAGAGTGGGAAGATGACAGATTCTAAGACTTTAGTGAATTTCATATTTTGACCCAAACCAGAATTGTCCCAACAATTTTAATGAGGCCAATTACTCACTCAAGTAGTATCTAGATTCACTGCATGAAGTCTTACAGCTGATACTGACAGTGGATTAAACATTTAAATATTTAAATAGCTTATTTGAAGTATTCATCACTTTTGTTTCTTGTTAAATTCTGTCTTATCTTAACAGCATTTGTTTACATGACAGTAAATCTAAGAAGGCCTACATTCATAACACTTAACGGCTTCTAAAAGGCCAGAATGAAGTTTTACTTCCAAAATTAGTTCTCTTGTAGGCTTTGCATCTTAACTGCCAAAATCCATCAGTGTCTTTGGCCACAGTTGTATAAAAGCAACAATTTGAAAGCCCATCTGAAAACTTCCTATACTCATAACAAACGCTCTTTATAAGTGCATTTTTGTGATTCCCATAATTTATTAACTTGTAGCCCCAAAAGGGAATTAAATATTGCCTGGACAAACTACAATATTTGGTGTCTAGGCATCAACCTTTAGTTTCTACAGTCATACCACACTGGAAAAGATCAAAAATCTGGACAGATTAGTTGAGTGACAAACTCTAAATTTGCAAAAACACTTATATGGTATTAAATGCTTGCATTCCTGAAATCTTTAAAAACCTGGCCTCATGTCTTAATTTGTACTGAAAAATGAAGTTTATATTTGCACATATTTTAAATATGTGTTTTGTAACTGGTTGTTCTGTCCTCACAGTGGTCATTAGAAACTATTTGCAGCAACAGATAATAGAACAATATTTTAAGTATCTAGTTTTGAAAACATTTGGGAAGCATCACAGTTTACAACTGACACCTTCCTCTTTACAGAGCTCTTTACGGTTCTTTTTACAGTTTCCATGTTTTTTAAATTCTGCTCTAGAACATGTTTTTAAGGAAGTTCTTTCCCACAGTGTTTTCTCTTAAACACAAAAATACATCTGAACAAGACTCAAAAAGTTGCACCCGTAGATAAAATTCTCTCTCAGAAACAAAGGAACATGAGTTACCACTCACATTACTTTTGCAATCCAAGATACTTATTACTAACTCTTACACTTCCACTACCGCAGCAACAAGTTTCTTTATACTGAAACAGGTCATGTAAACTAGACAACAGCAAAGAACCACAAGCAAGAAGTTCATACAATTTGAATACCCCCAAACTCAACTCTCATTCTCTGATGCTCATCATGCAAAAGCATGTTATAGGACTGGTCATCAAATCCAACCATCCATGACAATGAAGGACTGTGCGTGCACTTTGTCATCACTACAAACGACCTCTTAGTCGGTATATTTATTCCCCCTAATTCTAGGAGAGAATGACTCACAGATCTTACTTCTTCAGTGCAGAAAAAAACTTGCAAAAAACTTCCTTCTAATTTCTAGCCTAAGTTTAAACTGATGGTGGAAATAGCACCAAACAAGAACTTTAACTGTTTAGATTTCCTTCTTACAGTTCCATCAGCAAGGGATGTAACCCTTTAAGTAAATGTGATGTAAAATTTACATCTGTAAAGTGATGTAACCCTTTACCACTCAGTAGTTCAGGGTGACCTTCAGCACTCTATTTAATTGCTAACACATTCTATTTCATAGGCAGCCCTCTTATCTAGTATATAAAAAAATAAACAACAACACTTTGTTCATTTATTAAGTCACAAGGACTTTTGCTTTTCTGAGGGGGGGAAGCCAATACTTGCAAAAACACACCGCAGTAATACAAAGCAGATGATCCTTTCATTTGCTTCAAATTACAAGTAACTAATTTTCAATCAGCAATTGCATACAATGCAACAAACTCAGTTACATTATCTGGTTTGATACTTATCACATCCGTCAACTGCAAGACTAAAATGCTGACACATTCTAGTTTGAAATGGCAACATGATGCAAGCACTCCAAAAAAAAGTTTCAGAATTGCTGTCAAACTTTATCCATGCTAAGTTTGCTGCATTATTTGACATTTATCAAGTACAGAGGAAGCTGCATTGATTTTATTATAGAAAATTATGTTTTTAAAGATTTACTCAGGAAAGAGATTGAGCCTTACCTCTGGTTTACTGAGGCTGGATGACACAAGAGCACCTGATCCCACATCCAGATCCCACTGTTTTCTCCCACTGTTTTCTGGATCCAGTGCAGCAATTCGTCCATCCAAAGTGCTGATAATTACTAGAGATCTGCAAGTTGGAAGCATTCAGTCAAAACTACAGCAGTATGGACTTTATCTATTAGCTGTTTTCTACATTTAACACAGTGCAACTCCCAACTTTAAAGTTAAGTCTATATATTCTGCAAAAAAGCAATTTAACTTGGTAGCCCTGCCTAGACCAACAAGGGAGAGTAGAAAAGTTGAAGTCTGTGGCTGGATGTCATAAATTAATTTACATGCTATAAGATATTCAGAGTTCAGTTTCAGGGGAAGATAGTTGATTGTGTGCTCCCAAATGCAGGTGTTACCACAACACTGAATGAGATCATCTTCTTTTGAGATATTTATACGAACAGCATAGATCTTATTTTTTTCCCCGTCCCTTCCACACTGATCTTTAAGACATCCTTTCAAACCAACCTAGACTAAAACTATTAACCCAGCAAATCAGTAGCTAAGACATATTAAGTTGCAACTAAGTTTTCAATACCTGTGGATGAAATATTGAAATCCTGAAGATTTGACAAGCCTTAGAATAAACCAAGTCTTGCTTAAGGTATACACAGGACACTAGAAACAACCTCCAATGTCTGCAGACAACAAAGCAAGCAAACTGCCTTACGCAGCTTAGGCTTTAAGTAGCCTGTCTGTCTGGGGAGACATGGTAATGGCAGGCTAACTGTTGATTTCTACAGTGCCTGAAGCTCATCAGTTTTAGTAAATCTTGTTTCTTACACAGCAGTACAGTTAGAATAAGCATTTCTGATTAGGCTAGAATTCAAGCATTTAAATAAAAAAAAAAAACCAAAAAAAAATCAAACAAAACAACTGAACAACACAGAGACAAAACACTGACAAGGCCTTTTCCTTGAAGATTGTTTCACTCAGACCTAAAAAAGCTGGGATACGTGTCCAGTTTTGGCGTGCAGCAGGCTCTCCAATCTTCAAAGGCTGTGGGAGTAGAGCTTGATCACTTTACAGACTGCTTGCACTGCAGGAGGCTGGATCTAGTGACCCAGAAGGACCTTTACAGACATTGGTTTCAATGAGAATAAGGAACTGTGCAAATAAAGCTGATGGGTAGATTAACTATTTTTGGGTGGGGTGAAAGGGGGGGGAGGTAATGTACACAAAGACATGTATATGGATCATTATTTTAAACAATAAGGGACACTACATTACTGTGTAGAACTAAAGCCAAATATATTCACTTGTCCAAAGTTACCAGCGCAGTAAGCTGAAGTTTAGAGAGGAAAAGATGGGGGCTATAATTTTTCTTTAATGAGGGAAAAACTAAAATCATGTTCTTAAAAACATGTTCAGGGATAGTGGCTTATTACATCACCTATAACAAAGGTCATATAAAACACTGCAGTTTTACCTGTAAAAGCAACCCACACATTCTATAGGACCTTACACTGTACTATATTGTTAATAAATAAGAAAATTAAATACATCTTTAACCTTTACCAAAATTAACATAGCAGCTCCCACACTTCTGAAGGTGGCCAAGCATCACATTCCTCCAAAAGCTTAGTTTAAGAAACTTAGAAAAATACCAATTGTGCAAATATTTGAAAAGTAGAACACATGACTTTTTATAAGCTGAGTACATACAATTATTCAAACTGTACAGAAACCAAGACCAGGTTAATCATAAACCAGACTGCAGGAGACTATCTATTCTCAAGCACTGTAAACAAGTGCTCGCACACTAAAGACCTTGGACACACATTTAGCAGAATCTGTTTGCTTTATGGTAAAACAATTTATCTGAAGCCCTCTAGCATTGCATAAAAGTATTATCCCAAGTGGGTCTACTTAAATTGTATGATGACCCTGCTGACAACTAGGTTATAAAAAAGGTAGAAACGCAGCTAGAATGGAGATAATTTTGGCATTAACACTGTAGAGAAGAAAAATCCTAAAAATCGCACTGTGAAATGTCTCCTTCCCATCTACTCCCATTGTTTTTCCTTTATCTAATTCTTCCTGCTTGACTTCTCCCTCAAGTAACAAATGTTTTATGCCTTTGTATCTTACCCTTCCTTATTATCTTTCCCCACCAGATGCAAACCTCAACCTTTCCCAACAGTTATCTCATTATTTAACCCTCACCACCGCCACCCAAGACAGCAGTTTTGGAATCTGTACCTGCATCATGATCTTCGGTCACCCAAATTGTGGTGTAACTGCACTTACATTTTAAGGTTAGCTGAATAGGAAGGAGGGAAAAAAAAATAAACATGCCTTCAGAGGAAACTTTTGTCCAATAGCACACACTTTGAGAAACTCGTTTATCCCACTGCATCTGCACACCATAAAAATCCTAACTTCTCTTAGCTGCAATGGTACTCTTTATTGGTCCCCTTGGCCAGCAGCTCTACAGTGGGCTTCTGTTTCACAAACTCCACCTACAGAGCTAACACTTCAATGAGACATAGGAACAGGACTGGCTGAGCTAAACCTAATCTTCCATATGGCTACCTTTAGAACTGGGACTAGGTGCAAGAAAAGCATTGATTTCTCTCTGCTTTTTTAATGACTGACTCATTTTGAACTAAATAGTTGTGTTTCTGGTCCCATCTTCATCTTGCTCTTCAACAATAATCCTCTGTGACAGAAAATAACTGCTAAAAATCCTTATTCTTGTAATAAAATCCTTTGTTACTTACTCTATTTTTCTATAAATTAAAAACTTCATACCTGTTCTCCCCATCTCTGACTCCAGTGAGTTAAAATCCTGTCACTTGAACTCTAATTGGTGTAAGATTGGCAACTTGTCTACATGTGCCCTAGACCCATGCTAGTGTTACACTTTCTCACTATCAGATTTTCCTTTTTTCAAGTTTCCTCCCTTTCTCTGTAAGATTCCACTGCTTGCAGCTTTGCATACTGAGAGTATGAATCGGTGCCAAGAGATCTTCCCATCTTTCAAGTAGTCTAATCAAGCACTAGATTAACACACTCTGATAAAAGCAATTTAGGCAACTACTTCAAGAAACTGTTTCAGAGCTTAAAAACAGGCAGGCAACCTGCTTTTTGTCACCCCACAGTGTTATAAGTTTACTGTAGCATAATATGCCCAGTTCTTACAGCAAATTCTTCGAAACGCCAGTAGAATATGGCCACGATTGAAGAATAAAGAGCCGTCCTATTAGCCATCTCTTTGCAAGCCTTTGCTGGCTGATGAGGTTAGGACTGTACCTGCAATTCCATTACATTAAACTGCAATAGTGATATTCTGGATGCATCTTTGGGGCACCTAATCAACAAGTTCCAAGGAAAAGGAATTCCCACTTTAGCTTCTATTTTCGTTAAGCCTGATAAACTCTGTTATTCTCTGCAAAATGACACCCCATCACTGGCTATATCAACACTACCTTCTGACTGGGGTAAAGCTTAAGGACTACCCTGACCAAAGAAGCCAGCCTCCAACAACACAGAAGTTTTCTAAGAACACTACCAAACTAGGCTTCAATGATGCATACCACCCCACACAAAACTCAAAATACTACCCAACTTAAGGTCAAAGGTAAAAAGATCAAAAGTCACAACTATAATGTCAAGGAAGTGAGGAGGATGAAGACAAACAGCATCAAGGCTGCAAATTCCTGAAATGGCAAGATATTTGTTGGAAGTAAATCACAGACTATACTAGGGAGTGAATTACACCACACACATAGTAGAGAAGGAAAAAAAACCAAACAACCACACACCAAAACTAAACCAGAATTGCAATAGTCTCCACAAGCCTGGACCAGAACAAAAAAAAATACAGAAAGGAATCACTCCAAACTAGGCAGTTACGTAAATCCCAGGATCCATCAACCAGGCACCTGAAAAACGAACATCAGTAAAACGATGAAGACACATACTTCACCTTGCCTCTAGCTGCTGCTCCAGAGCATACTATGAAACAAGTGATGGAAGAGAAGAAAATCCCTTCTGGGCCCTTACAGATGGCCAGCAGAAGGACTAAAGCATGGGGCCAGTACAGTATGGCGTGTACAAAGGTTTCTGTAATCACAGCAGCTGGCAGAGACTAAGCTAACACTATATAGTCAGATTTTATTTGCACTTTGTCAATATGAAAACACATCTGGACATACTTCCTCCACCCCAACCATCTACAAACAGCCTCTATGGTTAAATGAAAGTGTTTTCTTACCATTTCCTATCCTTTTTCGCTCACAGACACGACCTTGTTATTGAAGTGCAGTTATAACGTTCCCCCTTGAAACTATGCAAAATATCTACTGCAAACTTCTACATACATCAACAAAAAGCCAGTCCTGGGCCTTAAAACCATTATTTATATCCCATCATGGGCACAGGATATATTTTGAGATCGGGTGGCCTGAACACATCTCTGTTCTACTTTATAAAAGTGAAGGTATCTGATTTACCTATAAACAGAATAAAAGGGCTAAGATTGCAAGGGAAGATGTAGACAGGATAGAGAAGGAATGCTTACTTAGCTGATCTACACCCTTTGACTGTGCCAAAAAAAAGGTATCTATTCAAATGAGTTGTTTATGTTAGAAAAACAAAGCAGAATTTATCATCATTTTAGTACAATATTCATCACTATTGCTGTTTCAGTTTAAAAAAAAAAGACCAACACAACTGTAATACAGTCCACCCTCAAAATACCCTCAAAAGCCATTTGGGACATTGCAAATAGGGCCGTTTGTCAAACTTGAACTCTTAAACAGCTATTGCAATTTCCAAACCTGCATGTTTGTACGTAAAGAGCACGGTAATTCACCAACCCTCACATTTTCTTCCAGGAAATTAAAAAAAATCCTCAAACCCAAGATAATTACATTCATTTGCCTACAGCAAAAACAACTGGGGTTTGTTTTTTGGGTTTTGGTTTTCTTGGTTTTTTTTTTTCAGATTATACTGACACGTTATCTTAAATGGATATTTCACTGCTGAAGAACAATTAGCTGAGGTGAGTAGAGTTTTCACAGATGAAAAAAATAAAGAAATGCAGGCAAATACTGTGGCCAGGCAGCCATTCTATTTTTATTTGATGACAGCAAATCTATTCCTATGCACTAATCAATTAGCAAACAGCTACATTTAATCTCAGTCTTAAATTACTAAATTGAACATCTTTAGTGTATTTTACTTAGCTCTAGTCATCAAACAGAAAATCCATTTTTAAATATTTTCAGGGTAAATGAAGGTCTTATTAAAAATTGAATACAGTAGAATTATAATAAACCAGGTAGGATTTTGATGACCTGACACACAAAAGAATATCACAAAGTGAATAGATTTTCCTCAAAGAAAACAGAATGCCAAGTTATCAGCCTGTTTCTTGCTCTAAGTGCTCGGCTATGCTAACAAAAAAGCTTTGGGCTTTTCATTTTTAGAACAGGTTCTCAAATATAGTAGGCATTTAGTCATGCTCTTCTTCCTTTAAACTCTGGTTGTTACTTATCACCTCATCTTTCTCAGCCAATTCAGAAACAGCTCAGTAACATTTCTGCACTTGAGTCATTCATTAAAATCTTCCTTTTGCCAGAGCTCCTTGCCACATGCAATTATTAAGGATTTTATTTCCTCTTGTTATATTCTGAAACTTGTTCAGCAATTTGTCTTGCATGTTTGGCTTCCCTTCAAGCGTACACCAGTGTCTGTGTTTAACAGACAATTAAGTAAATAGGAGAACTGTATTTTCTTTAAAAGAAAAAGAAGAGACAGCAGAAAGGGATACAATGCTCCGAACAACTGTGAGTTGCAGGTGCGGGAAAGAGGTCAGACTACAGATGCAGTGCTGTGGGTCTCCTTCCCGCAGGCACAGCACTGCCATGCGGTAACAAGTAAAGGAAGGGATCGAGACTTGGTATTACCAGGGTGAGTAGACTGGCCAGATGTCACATAGCATGACATCCGGCAGCGTATTTGTTTAAGAATTAAGGCACCCTTTCTCCCTACTAACAACCACAGAGAAGAGCAAGGACCTTAGCGATGGTGAGGTCCTGAAGTACCCTTTCCTTACTGCCACCTCTCCCTCGCCCCTCGGTCCAGCTTGTCCATCGCTGCTGGGTTCCTTCCAGCCCCATCACGGGACTCACTTCTTCCACCCCTTCACCTCTCCTCCCACCTTCAGATACTTCCCTGCGTGTTCCTACAGTTCAAACCCACGCACCAGCTTGCGGCACCCTTGTTTCTCCACGCCCCCCCTTCCCAACGCGCCGCTCCCTCCATAAACAACCTACAGCCCAACTCTCCCGCCCGCCTGCCTTCGCTCTTCCCAAACCCCCGAACCCTACCGAGCGCCGCTATCCCCTGCAGCGCACCCCGCCGAGCCCACTCCTGCACCACC